GATATGATACAATATATAGAAAACCCAAAAGGCTCCACAAGAAAACTACTGGAACTAATAGAAAGATTCAGCAGAGTAGTAGGATACAAGATAAACATACAAAAATCCATTGGATTCCTATACACCAATAAAGAGAATGACGAAAAGGAAATCAGGAAAACAATACCATTTATAACAGCCCCTATAAAAAATACAATACTTAGGGATAAATCTAACCAGGGATCTAAAAGACCTATACAAGAAAAACTATAAAACACTACTGCAAGAAACCAAAAGAGACTCACATAACTGGGAAAACATACCATGCTCATGGACAGGTAGACTCAACATTGTGAAAATGACAATTCTACTGAAAGAAGTCTTCAAATACAATGCAATCCCCATCCAAATACCAAAAACATTCTTTAAAGAGATGGAAAAAACAATCATTAACTTTATATGGAAAGGGGAGGCCCCAGATAACTAAAGCACTACTGAAGAAGAAGAATAAAGTAGGAGGACTCATATTACCTGACCTTAGAATCTACTGTACAGCTATGGTAGTCAAAACAGCCTGGGACTGGTACATTGACAGATACACTGACCAATGGAACAGAATCGAGAACCCAAATGTAAATCCAACCACCTATGGTCACCTGATCTTTGACAATGGCCCAAAGTCAATCAAATGGGGAAAGGACAGTCTTTTTAACAAATGGTGCTGGCAAAGCTGGACGTTTATCTGCAAAAAAATGAAACAGGACCCATACCTCACACCATACACAAAAACTAACTCAAAATGGATCAAAGACCCAAATATAAAACCAAAAACTATAAATATCATAGAAGAAAAAATGGGATCAACACTAGAAGACCCTAATATATGGCATTAACAGGATACAAAACATAACTAACAACATACAAACTCCAGAAGATAAGCTAGATAACTGGGGTCTTCTAAAAATTAAACACTTGTGCTCATCAAAAGACTTCACCAAAACAGTAAGTAAAAAGAGAATCCACAGACTGGGAAAAAATTGTTGGCTATTAAAATTTGAGAAGGGTGTAATCTCTAAAATCTACAGGAAAATCCAAAACCTCTACAGCAAAAAGACAAATAATCAATTAAAAAATGGGGAAGGGAAATAAACAGACACTTCACCAAAGACGACATTCAAGCGGCTAACAGACACATGAGGAAATGCTCGAGATCACTAGCCATTAGAGAAATGCAAATCAAAACCATGAGCTACCATTTCACCCTGGCATTACTGGCACAAATCAAAAAAACAGAAAATAACAAATGTTGGAGAGGCTGCGGGGAGATTGGAACTCTTATGCACTGCTGGTAGAAATGCAAAATGGTACAACCATTTTGGAAAATGATATGGCACTTCCTTAGAAAGCTAGAAATAGAAATACCATATGATCCAGCAATCCCACTCCTAGGAATATATCCTAGAGAAATAGGAGTCATCACACGAATAGACATATGTAGAGCCATGTTCACTGCAACACTGTTCACAGTAGCAAAAAGATGGAAACAACTTAGATGTCCATCAACAGATGAATGGATAAAAAAACTATGGTACATACACACAACCGAGTACTACACAACGATAAAAAATCTGTGAAACATCTCACAACATGGATGAATCTGGAGGGCATTATGCTGAGTGAAATAAATCAATCACAAAAGGACAAATATTGCATGAAACCACTAGTATAAAAATTCATGAAAAGGTTTACACACAAAAAGAAACAATCTTTGATGGTTACGAGGAGGGGAGGGGTGGGGGTGGAGAAACATTAAATAGACCATAGGTAAGTGGTAATTTTGGTGACGGCTAAGACAGTACACAATACTGGGGAAGCCAGCACAACTTGTTCAGGGTAAGGTCATCGAAGCTCCAGGGACAAGTCCAAACTCCCTGAGGGACTGAATTAATGGGCTGAGGGCTGTGGGGACTATGGGGAACATCTAGCTCAATTGGCATAACATAGTTTATAAAAAAAATGTCCTACATCCTACCTTGGTGAGTAATCTCTGGGGTCTTAAAAGCCAGCAGCCATCTAAGATACTCCACTGGGCTCACCCTTTCAGGAACAAGGGACAATGAAGAAAATTAAAGACACAAGGGAAAGATTAGTCCAAAGGACTAACAGACCATAACTACCACGGCCTCCACCGGAAGCAGCAGTCAGGAAATCAAAAGATGCATCGCGTTGGGCAAATCTGCTGCAAAAAACCTCTTTACAGCGTTGAAAAGCAAAGATGTCACCTTGAAGACTAAGGTACGCCTGAACCAAGCCATGGTATTTTCAATCGCATCATATTCATGCGAAAGCTGGACAATGAATAAGGAAGACCAAAGAAGAATTGATGCCTTTCAATTGTGGTGTTCACGAAGAATATTGAATATACCACGGACTGCCAAAAGAATGAACAAACCTGTCTTGGAATAAGTACAACCAGAATGCTCCTTAGAAGGAAGGATGGCGAGACTATGTCTTACACACTTTGGACATGTTGTCAGGAGAGATCAGTCCCTGGAGAAGGACATCATGCTTGGTAAAGTACAGTGTTAGCGAAAAAGAGGAAGACCCTCAATGAGATGGACTGACACAGTGGCTGCAACAATGGGCTCAAGCATAACAACAACTGTCAGCATGGTGCAGGACCGGGCAGTGTTTCGTTCTGTGGTGCATAGGGTCGCTATGAGTAGGAACCAACTTGACAGCAACAAACAACAACAATCACAGCCTCCACCAGACTGAGTCCAGTACAACTAGATGGTGCCCAGCTATGACCACTGACTGCTCTGACAGGGATCACAATACAGAGTTCTGGACAGAGCTGGAGAAAAATGTAGAACAAAATTCTAACTCAAAAAATGATCAGATTTACTGGCCTGAGAGAGACTGGAGAAACCCCAGAGAAACACCCAGATACCCTTTTAGCTCAGTAATGAAGTCACTCCCGAGGTTCATCTTTGAGCCAAAGATTAGACAGGCCCATAGAACAAAACAAGACTGAAGGGGCACACAGCCCAAGGGCAAGGACTAGAAGGCAGGAGGGGACAGGAAAGCTGGTAATGAGGAAACCAAGGTCAAGAAGGGAGAGTATTTACATGTCATGGGGTTGTTAACCAATGTCAAAAAACAATATGTGCACTAATGGTTTAATGAGCAGCTAGTCTGTTCTGTAAATCTTCATCTAAAGTACAGTAAAAAAAAAAAAAAAAAAGCTTTAGCATAAAATAATGAGCAATGAACGGAAAGGGAATAATAATTCAAAGAGCTTTGCCAAATTTTCAACTATTAAACAAGAAACTGCTTGTGTATTTTAAAGCTGATGATATTGGATATAAAACTGCTATATTATCTAGGTTCCTTGGATATACTGTATTTTTTCCAAGTAATGTTAATAGTTTTATTGCAAAATATTTGTCAACGTTTGCTAAATGCCAGAAATTATAACTTTTGCAAGTATTTAAAGCTATTAGGGACATTTTATTTGTAAACTTTAAAGTGTGAAAGAAGGCACATTGTTTTTCAAGTCCCCAGCCCCAACAGGGTAAATGAGCAAAGCAGCTTGAAGACCACTTAACTGCGTATGTGGTTACTTAAATTAAATCGGTGTATGTATACTGACGTAGAAAGATTTCCAGTATGGTTTCTTTTTAAAAAGTAAATTACAGTAAAGCATATGTAATGAACTCATTAAGTAAAAAATGAAAATTCAAAAAACATTTACATAATAATTTTATGTGCACAGAAAAAGTTTCGAACAGTAAACACTAAACTGTTATTAGTGTTTAAAACTAAGGAATAGAAGAACCGGGAAAGAAGGTTTTGCATGTTTTACTTCCTGAGCTTTTCCTTATTTAAATTTTCAAAATAAGAATAAAACATTCCTTAAAAAAACAAATGTAAAGTACTATTTGTACCCAAAGAACTAATATTGCTATTAAAAGTTCCACAATTTTGACCTACCCTTCTGAGCAGAATCTCATGCTATAAGAGGTTTCTCAGACCTATATGAAATCTGTTTTCCTGAACCCTAGCATGCACGCACACACACACACACACACACACACACAAACACACACGTACTCAAGTGCATTGACACGTGCATATGCCCACATGCACACGTGTGCATACACGTTATACACCCCCAACATGCCTGGCTTCTACTACCCTTAGGCTAAAGATAAGACAGCCTGGTCCCTTTATCCCAAAATCCCATTACAAGAACTTCATCTCCGACAGAATTAATTAGTAAACCACTGCCACAAAGCATTGCAGTGGGTGCTCTGCCTAAATTAAAAATTATTTTAAATAATAGAACACATTTTCACTCTGTGAGAGTGAGGATGCAGGTGAGATCCCGGAAGGCTGAGATATCCCTGAACAAAGAAATCCCAAAGCAGACAGCACCAGGATCCCTCCCCAGTGAGCTGGTCTTGGAAGCACACCCACTCGCCTGCCTCCAAGGAAGAGGAAGTGGCTTGCCTGTCTCCTTCTCAACACACGCTAAGGAGCACACAAAACCTTGCATTCTGCCCTCTGCAGACACCACCATTACCACCTACTACTGTTAACAAGCTTAAGGAATATGAAAATATGAGAAAAATAAAGACACTCTAACAGAAACAAGGAATAAGCTTAGAAAGCCTCACGTCCAGAAGAACTCTTTTTAATGTACCATCACACAAACTAAAATCTCAAAAGGGTATTTTACACAAGGTCAGCTAGAACCTGTGGACAGGGCACGAGGAGCATAGGCTCTGGCCAGGTCCATGTGGCCTTGGTTCTGTCTTCTACATCACCCTCCTCACTGTGAGGTTCAATGAGGGTGTAGGGAAAGCACCTCACACAGCATTAAAGGGAAGGATCTACTTTGACTACTACTACTGTTATGTGAGACTAAAAGCAAGCGGTCTAACCAAAGATTGCTTCCCCACAGTGACTTCTATCAGAACTTGAAAAGACCAACTCAGGTTCTACGTTTTACCTACCTAGGACCTTGAGAACGCCGATGGTCTTCTCTCCAATAAATGTGTTGTAGCATTCCAGTGCTGCCAGTAGCATGTCCATCCACCACAGGGTCGCACGAAGACTAAATGGCCCAGGCAGATGGCTGAGGGTGGGCTGAGCAAGAATGCCAGAGAGCTGGTCACAACTGCTTCCTCCCCCTTCAAACTGGTATATAAGAAAAGAAATACCTTCTTTCTTGATAATATCATTCAGCCATACAGAAGGGGATTTGCTGCCTAAAAAAAATTAAAATACACATATAACATTTGACCAAAGAGGACATTCAAATGGCCACCAAACAGAAAAGATGCTCAGCGTCATTGGCCATCAGAGATGCAAATCAAAACCACAATGAGATACCATTTTACTCCCACTAGGATGGCTAAGATTAAAATAAAAAAAAAAAAAACCATGTTGAGGAGGATGTGGGGAAATTGGAACACTTATCCATTGCTAGCAGGAATGTGACATAGTACAGCCAGTGTATAAAACCACGTGGCAGTTCCTCAAAAAACTAAACATAGAACTACCATAAAAAAAACAAAAAACCAAACCCACTGCCGTCAAGTCGATTTTGACTCATAGCAACCCGCTAGGACAGAGTACAACTGCCCTATAAGGTTTCCAAGGAGCAGCTGGTGGATGTGAACTGCTGACTTTTTGGTTAGCAGCAGAACACTTAACCATAGTGACACAAGGGCTCCAGAACTACCATGTAACTTAGTAATTCCATTCCTAGCTATATACCCAAAAGACTTGAAAGCAGAGACTCAAACAGATACTTGTGCACCAATGTTCACTGCAGCACATTCACAATAGTTAAAATGTGGAAACAACCTAAAGGCCCATCAACAGATGAATGGAAAAACAAAATGTAGTACACACATACAATGGAATACTACTCAGCCAGCAGGAGAAATGAAGTCTTAACACATGCTACAATACAGATGGAGCTTAAAGTCATTGCACTGAGTGAAATAAGCCTATCACAAAAGGACAAATATGACCTCACTTATATAAAAAGACAACAAAAGGCATATGTGTAGAGACCAAAGTTTATTAGTGGTTACTAGGGGCAGGAAAGATGGGGAAGAGGGGGCTGGTTAACAGTGATGGAAAAACTGTACTGATTAAGGGCAGAGTTGCACAGTCGATTACTGAAACCGCTGTCAGTAAGTTGCACACCTGTAAAAACTTGAATTGGCAAAAGTTATGTTTGATATACTTAAAACAACAACAAAAACAACAAAAGAGAATCTGCAGAAGCTGCTTAAATACATTCAAACACCTAAGGGGTTTGGTTCCTTGGTTTGGAGGTTTGCAGTCATAGTCTCATGGACTATCCCAGTTAACTGGCCTAATAACTTGCTCTACCTCCTAGTTCACTGCATAATGCCTGGAGATTTAAAAGCTTGAAGGAGCCATCCAAGGCACAACAACTTATCTCTATTCGCCTGGAACAAAGAGGAAGAAGGAAAGTCAGGAACAGGAGGAGGATATGGAATGTGTGTGGCTAATTCCCTCGATGAACAACTGCCCCTGTGCTTTTGAGACTATAAGAACTGGATGGTGTCCAACTACCATTACTGAACATTTTGATCAAAGATTCTATAGAATAATCCTCATCAAAACGGGGAAAATGCAGAACAGAATTTCACATTCTCATGGTATCCAGACTTTCTGGATACATGCAGGATGGATGAACCCCTGAAACTACTGCTCTGATATAATCTTTAAACCTTAAACCAAAAATACTCCTTACAGATTTCTTAATATCACACAGTAGTTTAGCTTAACCAGTAAAGAATGTCTGCCTTGAGCACTGTGCTCTTTTAAAAACTATGTATATGGGATCAAATCGACAACAACTTGCAAGATTAGATGGGAAAATTACTGACAGTGAATTTATGTTAATGCAGGAGGGACAACTCAGAAAAAGAGGGTGAGAATGGTTGCACAACTTGAAGAATGTAATCAATGTCACTAAACTGTACATGCAGAAACCATTGAACCAGTGTCCATTTTGCTGTACATATTCTCAACAACAAAATACATAAATTTTTAAAAATATATACTTATAAATATTTTTCCTATAATTGAATCTCTTTAATCACTGTGCCTTATAAGAAGAGCATCTCTCATGGTGGGATGACTGGGTTTCTACATGTTAAAAAAAAAAAAAAATGAAGCTGGACCCCAATCTCATACCATATACAGAAATGAATCCAAAATAAATCAAAGACCCAATATAAGAGCTAAAACCATGAAACTCTTAGAAGAAAACAAGGGGTAAGTCTTCATGACCGCGGGCTTAGCAATGGATTCTCAGCATGTGCAACAACAACAAAAATAGGTAAATTGGGCTTCATCGAAATGAAAAAATTTGTGCATCAAAGGACACTATCAAGAAAGTGAAAAGACAATCCATACCTACCCAAACTAACAGAAAATGATGCTGAAAATCTAAAACAGACTCATAACAAGAAAAGATTGAAAAGGTAATAAAAAAAAAAAAAAACTCCCAACAAATAAAAGCCCAGGCCCGGATGGCTTCACTGGAGAATTCTACCAAACATTCAGAGAAGAGCTTATACCAGTAATACTCTCACTATTTCAGAAAAAACAAAAGGAAGCGATACTTCTGAACTCATTCTATGAAGCCACCATAACCCTGATACCAAAAGCAGGCAAAGACACCACAAAAAAATTACAGACCAATATCTCTCATGAATATAGATGCAAAAATTCTCAACAAAATTCTAGCCAATAGAATTCTGAATCGTATCAAACAACTAATACAACACAACCAAGTAGGATTCATACCACATATGCAAGGATGGTTCAACATTAGAAAATCAATCAACATAATCCACCACATAAATAAAAGAATCACATGATCATTTCAATCGATGCAGAAAAAGCATTCGATAAAGTGCAACACCCATTCCTAACAAAAACTCTCAATAAAATAGGTACAGAAGGGAAATTCCTCAACATAATAAAGGGAATCTATACAAAATCAACAGCCAACATCATTCTTAATGGAGAGAGGCTGAAAACATTCCCCTTGAGAACAGGAACCAAGACAAGGATGCCTTTTATCACCACTCCTATTTAACACTGTGCTGGAAGTCCTAGCTAGAGTAGTAAGACAAGAAAAAGAAATAAAGGGCATCCAAATTGGTAATGAAGAAGTAAAACTATCCCTATTTGTGGATGATATGATAGTATACATAAAAAACCCAAAAGACTCCATGAGAATACTACTGGAACTAATAGAAAGATTCAGCAGAGTAGCAGGATACAAGATAAACATACAAAAATCAGTTGGATTCCTATACACCAATAAACAGAATGATG